CAACAGGTACCCGCCCCGGTGGATAAAAGGTGGCCGGGGATGGGACCTAATAATAATAATAATACTAGTAATAGTACTCCTGTCTCTTGCTCCCTAGCTACTACTACCCCTCTGCAGGCTGCGTCTCCCCCTGCCAAGCTGGAGGCTAGGTATCTCACTGTCAGCAACGAATTGAAAAACTTGCAGCTTGGGTCAGTGAGGGAACCAGTCACCGTCATGCAAAGGCCACAATCCGTGAACCCAAAGCAAGCTCCTGTTTCAAGCATGAGCTCCTCTCCCCCGGGGTCGGTGGCCATGGGCAGCAATTGGTATCCCAACACGACCACTGGTGGTATTGATACAATGAAGCCCAAAGTCGTGGCCCCCGCCACTGCCATCTCTAGAAGCATTAGTCCCAATGGTGTTAGTTCAAATCCGTTGTACAACCAGTTCCATTCCCAGCTGCCATTTGTGCCCAATCACAACAGTGGCCCGATGGACCTCCACATGCCCCCTTTGCGAGTGAATGCCGGTGGCAGCCTGTGGAGCAGTAGGGGAAGTGCATCACCGGCACTCTCGGCTGCCTCGTCTCTTGGTCTCTTTTCCGGGATTGGCTCGTCCGGGTCGTCTTCCCCGGTGGACTGGAGCACGGGGAGTTCCAGCCTGCAGCTGGACTATACCAGCATAGACTGGAGTCTGGATCTGGGTACGCTGCCAACGAGGCCCAATGGGCTGTGGGCTGGCGGGAGCTACCCGGTGCAGGGTAAAGGCCAAGGGTTTGACTCTTTTGCATATGGTCTGGGAATGAAGGCGGCAGCCATGAGGCCGGTGCTGTCTTCTGGTGGTGGGCTGCCTGAGGGGATTGCGGGTTCTAGCGAAACGGGCAGTGCAAGTTCTCGGGAGTGGACTTCGCCGTTTGAGGAGAGAGACATTTTCAGTTTGCCCAGGCAGTTTGTTTCGTCCCCATCTCTGTGAGACGGACGGTGGGGACTTTTCTATAATAACAGAAAAAANNAAAAAAAAAAAAAAAGACAAGAAAAGAAACGTGCGTGTATTTGGTGTTGGTTCTTTCTTTGTGATGTTTTCGCCCTTGTTCCTGTTGTGAAATGCTGATTTTTAGTGGAAAAAGAAAGCATCAAGAATTCCCTTTGGTTTAGTGTTGTTCCATTTTCTTTGCTTTATGTTTTGTTTTTTCGTTTCTTTGTGAGGTTTCTTGTGCTTTGCTAGTTGCAATGTTAGGTTCCTTGCGGCTGATATTGGTTAATCAATGAATACAAATGTTGAATACAAATGTCTGCGTAAGCTTGGGTTGATTTGGTTATAAACACAATAGTCAAGCCCACGAACCCTAATCGAGTTGTTTATAAATATGTTCCGTTTTGCTCGTTTAATTAGCGAGATTGATCAGTTGTTGTACCTTGGCTTGGATGAGTATATGAAAGAGCTGAACTCGAGCTTTAGCGAACCAAACTGTCTCGAGTTTCAGTGAACCATACTGAGCTGTGAACGCAAATAGTTTGGTGGAATGACAACATGTTCACAAATAGTTTGGTGGAATGACAACATTACTAAATAATCCCAATTTATAATTATAGATCAAAGTAAACATAAAAGTGCAGTTTGTGTTGTTTGTGAATATAAAAAAGACGGCTTAAGGAGAACGAACAAAATGAAAAAAAATAAAAATCAAAGTCAAGGCACGTAATAATTACGTTTTCCTTAAGACGAAATTGCCCCGTAAAATATCCACGGTTAACGGCAAACGCCTCCAAGATACAACGACTTTCGACTTGTATATAGCGGCACTTCAAATATACAAACTTTCGGCGAACATTACTATTGTTTGGAACTCTCAAGACTCAATGAAAAAAAAATCAAAGAACGCAATATGCTATATGATATTTGAAAAGTAATGCAAGAGCTCTCTCATTTTCAAGTTATGAATAATTTCAAGTTAGTGGGTATTTATAAATATAAGGGAACACTTCCAAGAGGTTTAAATGTCAAAAGACACCTTTTGGGACGTGCCCGAATGAGAACGTATGCATCTAGTGACCAAAAAATACCTTATGGTCACCAAAGGTTGTGACCCTTTGATTTCCGCAGCCAATTGCACGCCCATGCGCCGCGGGCTCGTACGAGCTCATACGGACTCAGAATCGAGTTTCGTTTTTTCTTACTTGTCCCCAACGAACTTCTACAATTTTAGCATACATAATGCATAATTATGGCTCGTTTAGTTTGTCCAAAAACAGAATGTTTGTAAACCCTACAACCTTTGAGTTATTTAAACTCAATTAGTTAACATATAACACTTAGAATTAATTTCTCATTCACCTTAAAAAGGTTTTGAGAATTTCCTAAGTCTTCTACTTACGAAAAATTGAATCGTTATCTCGGTACAAAACCAATTTTTTCTTACAATCCCCCACATGAATGAAATTAATGCATGTATGCAATACTTGAGAGTCCCGACGAACAATCATTGCATCAGGACAGATAGTTTGTGACTTTGAATCTTCCTTAGTAAAATACTATCGGATATACAGCCGGTTAGTAGCGCGATGCTTTGAACTTACCGACTGTTTGTGTGCACCAAGACAATAGTACTCACACAATAACAACTCTAACAATTTCTTGTTCTCACGTTGTGTCCATTTCGGCCCTGGACCATATCTCGGTTTCGTAAGCATTCGATTGAAGCGGCCTATTTACTTCTCACTTACAAAGGTGATTATCCTATAAAGAGTATCCTACCTTACTCCACCCATAGGTATATGAATTATTAAAAGTCCTCGACTTAACCTCACCACTTAGGCAGATTTTAATACTTGATGGTTATAGAAATGAGCATAAAGTTTTCAAGTGTTTCACTGAACTGTCAAAACTTAGTTTTCCCATTGAACCAAGGTTTCGGGATCTCCGATTCTCATGGTTGGGTTACCGCTAAGACCGTTCGTTTGTTGTAGATTTTTATAAAGCTAATTCCTCTAACCAGTTTGTACAATTTATCTCATTTCATGCTTTATGTAAACGGATCCGTTAGGTTTATCTTTGACTTTACATAGTCAACCGATATAACCCCCACACGAGATAATTTTCTTATGAAATTAAGTCTCCAACGTCTATGGGTAGACTTACTATTTTACAAACTACTTTGTATTCTTTCAGTTTTTATTGATAAATAATCATCACAATGAACCCAATTTATTCCACCTAGGAATATCTTTTAGAAATTTCTAAGTCATTAGCTTCTTCCACACCTTTTGTCCAAATTTATAAACTTGAACTTCATTGTGGATCTAGCTTTATACTTAGATAATTTTTATGACACTACTCTACCCACCTAAAGTAAACACTTAGTCACTTTTAATCTTGGAGTTTTTCATGTCCAATACTCGATTCAACGTGATCAAAATTCATCGCTTGAGTTACTCGTGAACATCTTAGTTTTCTCACTAAAATGCAACATTGGGGCGAGTACTATCCGACAAGCACTTCAAGCCTCCAATTATTCAGCATAATTTGGTTATGAGAAACTAATTATTTTCGAATACTTAGTTAAGTGTAGAGTCAATTTTACATACACTTTTGCTTGAGGCTTTATCGAGCTCATTGAACCTCTTCAACATACATTTGACATAATGAGATTGTTGTTGTAAGTATTTTTACTGGAGTCAAATCTAAAGATTCAAACACCGGGTCGTCTCTCAAGGAAGGTTAGCCGGATAATTTGCACGTATATTCGATCACACAAAAAGAGAAAACGAAATCCTAAACGCTCTAATTCACGATTTGGTTTGATTTATCAACTACTAATTGTAAAGCAAGTAATTGTAAAAGCAAGGCAATCAATTCCAAACTCACCTCTCAAACACAAATTTCAACAGTAATAAATGGACTAGGGTGTTGGAGATAATCGTTTCCGGTTCTCATTACATTAAACAAGCAATCAATTACTCAGATAACAGACTCAAAACGACCAATAAATTCAGAGACTCATTCGCAATAACTCACGTAACAAGAGAATGAGCATAAACGAGTAATCACCGAATCCATTAACACATAGACAATATGCTGCCGAACAAGTCTATTCTAAACAAGCCGAGATCGATCGATTCCTCCCCTTTCGGTTCTAAAATCAATTAAGTAGATTAAATGATGATCAGACATTCAACCCTAGGTTAAGCCTAACTTATCTAGATTGAGCAATCGACATTCATGCAAACAAAATTGAACCGGAACAATTATCCCCTAACCCTAGCTAATGAATTTAGCTACTCATTGCTATCTCAACACGAATCATATTCATAAACAAAATGAAAAGAGGTGCTTACGATTAATAACGAATCCAATGTCAAGAGAAAACAACGAACAAATCCAAATTCAAAGCTAGAAAAAGGAGTTTTTATGCTCCAAAAATCCAATCCAAGATGAAAAACAAGAGAAAATGTGTTTTGGGAGTGAAAAACTAAAGAAAAACGAAGTCTGGAATGAGTACAAATTACCCTAGGATCGATCTTATACCTCCCAAATTCGAAATCACGAGAAAACCGCGTCTATTACAAAATAGACCTTAGCGCCGCTAAGCCACCTTAGCGACGCTAAGGTTCCTTAGCGCCGCTAAGCCTCGTTAGCTGCTCATGTCTGTCCCCGTTAAGCTTCAAAACGCCGCTAACCAACTGACCTTAGCGGCGCTAACCATCCTTAGTGCCGCTAAGGTCTGGACAACATCAAAAAAATTGATATCACGGGCTTGTGTGCTCGGTTAGCGTCTCTCGGGTACTGCCCAAGCTGGACTGCCCAAGCTGGAAACTCGATCCTCGCATGTTTGGGTCCACAAAAAAATGATGCTCGAACAACACGCTTCTCCTCTCGTCTGAATGCTCACCAATCTGCTCAACTTGGAACCTGAAATCGCACCACCGGAAAAACATGAAAACAAAGAAAATAGGAAAGAAAACACAGAAAATACTAAACACACCAAAATAAAGATAAGAGCACAAGAAACGACAAAGAGGACCAGAAATACCTAAGAAAAGACCTAAAACGGGGGAAACGACACACAAAATACCAACGAAAATAGCAACAAAAACGGGACAAACAACTCCCCCACACTAAGACCTTTGTTCGTCATGAACAAAGAAAAGAAAAGAAAACAAAAGAAAGCAAATAAACGAGCAAGGACAACGGTTCAAGCAAGACTAATCTCTAACCAACCAATCAAGTCACGAAGAATTCAAATGATCACAAGAACACACATCAAGTATGAACTCAGTTATTTCGAATGACAAAGACTCTCGAGTACGAAGATATATCATATGCCTCACTCAGTTTCTTTTGTAAATATAAAAGAGGTGCACTCAAGTTGGTCGTCAATCAATCAATCAAAGGTTTGTCAATCGTCTAACTTCTACTCTAAAACAATCAAAGATGTGAAACGATGAATCAAGAGGACTTCTCGGGTTGTAATGTAGTCTCTTTGGATCGGGTAGGATACATATAGGCTAAGTGGCTAGCTTCAACTCAATTTCATTACCTAACCGTGATCACGAACACCTTCGGTTTTCAATCACCAACCGGTTCCTTCCTACGAACTCCAAAATCAACTACTTCCCAAGCAATTCCTTTTTTTTTTTTTTTTGAAAAACCTTTTGGACATCTTTATCTAGGTTTAATCTTCGGGTTTTCCGCCTGAGTCTCCAAGACCGGTTTCTCGTACTCATTGCTCGGTTCCACTAACGATGGTGGTCAAGCACTTGGAGTATAATCCATTAGGTTTCCATTTTTACTTTATATATATATATATATATACACAACTCAACAATCATCACCTTCATTTCATTCAATTCATCAATCCTCAACTTCATCATTCGGGGTTATCAAGGAGAGTATCAACAAGGCTCAAAAGGAGTAACGAGTGAGTATTATTTCCGAAAAAGAAAAAAAAAGAAAAAGGAAAGCAAATACAAGGA